CAAGTATATATTTATCAAGTCAGATAAGTTTATAATGCATACTTGTGCCATCATGTAATGATCTCTGAATATAGCTATAATTAGTTTTTGGTTTTTTTTTTCTTTACTACAGATGTTTATAAGTTCTTCAAAACAGCCTAGTGTCTTGGTAAGATATTGGATTTTCCTTCCAATTATATTTCCAGGAAGTGTTTTTGCTTTAATATTTATTTTGTTTTATTGACATCTATATCTAATATTTTTATTAAATAGAAAGCATAGTTTTGGTTTGCTTCATTAATATATGGATTGTTTATCTTTCCCTTAAATATCTTATATTTAAGTTTGGTGGTCAGTTTCTATTTCTTTATTTAAGTCATCTATCCTTGCTTATTTGTATGAACTTTTTCTTTCATAAATAGTGTTTACTTGTTTAGTAAATTGTTCTGCTGCTGTGTCTGTGTAGGAATTGATATTTTCTTGCTTATAGATGTCACTTTAGAATTCATGTATATTGGGTTGGTTCTTTACTAACATTGTTTGATTCCTTATGATCTTGTTGCTGTTTTTAACATTGTATTGAATCTTTTCTTATGCTGTTAAGATTGTTATTATTATGAGAAGCTTTTTGATTGTTCTTGTTCTATTAAGTTTAATTTTCTATTTCTTTCTTCTGCTTGTAGTTGTTTCTTTGCTGCCTTCTGTACTGAATATGATGTTATTTCTTTGCTTTTTCAGCCAATTATATCTTTGATAAGTTTGTTTAAGTTATAATTGAACCTGGTTAAGGCTAATGAGCCTCTGAGAGTTTTGTTTGAACTCATTTCTCTTTCTTTTTGCTATGTTTTCTAATTTGGTAATAGTGTGCAAGTGGGAAAAAGTAGATTATATAATATATTTTCTATTTTTATATTTTTATAAATTATTTATGTAATGAAAAATAACTATTTAAAAATAATCTTTTTATCTTTGTAGTAATTCAGATTATATTTTTGTCTTTGAATTAATAAAATAATTATTTGTAACCAGATGGTTTTAAATCCTAAACCTTTACTTAGTAACCTATAGAGCATTATTATAATGCTATAGACTAGAGGTTGGATCAGCCTATCTGTTCAGATAAACAGATAATTTTTATAGCCGTGTAATTTATCTGTATCGATTTAGTGGATTATCAGATAATCAGATAAAAATGGTTGTCAAAAAGTACGAAAAGTAGAAACTTTTTTTTCAAAAAATTGATTTAGCAAATCGTATAAGTATATTTTCATTTATTTTATCTAAAATACATTTTCTGAATTACTATAAAAAATATTATTAACCAAAGCATTATTTCTTTTTAAAAAAATAAGTTGCTCAAACACCTGTGGTTTTAGACTAGTATGTTTCAAAGTCATTATATTTCCTGCATCTGAAAACAGCCGCTCACTAGGTGTTGATGTTGCAGGTATCGAAAGGTATTTACAAGCAAGTTTCGAAATTGTAGGAAATCTTTCTTGATTATTGATCCATCAATAAAATGGATCAAGTGTTGGAGAAATTTCTGATTGAGCAAGATAATCAGCTACTTCGTCAATTTTAGGATGGTGTGACTGAAGCATTCGTGCAATAAGTGAGTTATCACTTCTAACTACTTGAAATTCATCTAAATGAGATTGTAAACTTGTAACTATATTTTTTAATATATCAATAGTCTTTTTCTTTTCAGCATTTGAAACAAAGCCAAGTGATTTGCAACGAGAATTCAATAGTGATGCCAGCATTTCAATATCAGATGGAATTGAATTGTAATGAAGTAAGCTTTCATATAAAGCATTTTTAACTCGATATATAAGCCCATTACAATCTTGAATATCAATTTGAATTTGACTGGATTCAATAGTAAGTGTATTAATTTCTTCATCACAAATATCTTCATCAAATGCCATTGTATTTGTCGTAAAATCAACAGTTTCCATAATATCGTTGTTAGGTGTAAGATTATTAATTAACATTGAAATAGCATAAACCATAAAACTAATTGTAGCTATATTCAGAGATCATTACATGATGGCACAAGTATGCATTATAAACTTATCTGACTTGATAAATATATACTTG